TTCTTGGGTGCATCCTAGGAGAACTCAATGCCTAAATGAACTGTGCAATGGGGAGTTCAAGTGAATATATCCACGACATCGGTAGGTGTATCCAGTAGAGAGATCTATTGAAGGAACAAAGTGTCTAATCATGGTATTTTTTGAGGTATAATACTCACGTACTTCAAGATTGATTGTGGGATGGTGGATTAGGCTTTGGTGAACCTTGAGTGATTCCTCATAGTTTTTCCTGAGAAGCATTTCTGTATCAACAAATCTCTTGTATCCTTTATTGCTTTATTTGATACACTTGTAATTTGTAGCACACATGGGCACTATATGTTTGATGTTATGATTATGTTATTTCATATCATCCATAGTGGTTTGATAGTGGGTTGACAGTCTTGGTTAGGATCTTCATGAGTTATTGAGTGTTAATTGATAAAATTGATATATATATATATTATACTAATCATCATTGTTACTTTTGATGTTCTTGTGTAAAAGGGGTTATATAATTGTTAATTGACAAAACATTTTGAGAAAGAGGTAATTGTGGTAGTATAGGTTATAAATTGGTGCTTGTTCAATCGGAATAATATCACTTAATTCCATGTGTTTAATCATGAGGGACTATCCATTCCACTCAAGGATAGAGAACTTATCCTTATAATTGGTATTACAGTTGGTTTCCCTATAGGATTAACTTAGACACTTAGTAAGTGCACTTTGCATTTTTCCTTACATTACCTAGTTTTTTCTTGTTTGGATCTATTGTGACTACTCGTTAGTTGCCAATGGATTAAAAAATGAAAGAGATTCAGTAACACGACCACCATTTTTTGATGGGATTAATTATGTTTACTTAAAGGCTCAAATAGGAGTTTTGTTTTTTAAATCACTTGACGAGCGAGTGCAATTGTATATGTTAGAGGGTTGGAGCCCTCCGACAAGCAGTACACCCATTTAAGGTGGTGGGCTGGTCATGAACAACAAGCCCATAATACTGGCACAAAAGCTGAGTATGATTTGTTGAGGTAAAACTCGAAACGCTTGAATGTGATATTCAATGTTGTGACACCAAATGAGTTTTGGAGGATAGCTACTTGTGAAACCTACGAAGAAGCATGGGACATCTTGCAAGTTTCCCATGAAGGGACTCAAATAGTGAAGATGTCTCGCCTCCAAAGGTACACCTCTTAGTTCGAAACTTTAATGATAAAGAGGATGAAAGCTTTATTGATTTCTAAGCTAAATTTAGTGATATTATTAACTTTTATTAGTACCAAATATGACAACACTGCGATTAAGTGGAAAATATTGAAGTCTTTGCGAAAAAGATTTCATACTAAGGTGACGACATTAAAAACAAGCATCAATTTGAAGTAGTTGCCAGTTCAGGATCTTGTTGAATTCATTTTGACGTTTGAGATAAATCTCCTACCACCCAAAAAAGCGAAAAGGGTAGCCTTGGTAGAAGAGGACATAGTCTATCTTGCTAGGAAGTTCAAAATAAACTTCAAAACTAGTGCTGCAAAGTACTCTAGTTCAAAACTAAATTTTAGTACACCGAAAACTCCTAAAGAGGGAAAAAAAGGGGAAGAACATCTCGACAAGAGGCTTAGAACAAAGGGCAAGGCAATCAATTCTTGACTGCCAGAATCGGAAGAAAGAGATTCACCCAAGGAAAAGAGGACGGTGATGAAGGGCAAAGTAAGTGAGAGTGAAAGTGAATCCACAATTAGTATTGTGACGCCCCTAAAATCGAGGTTCCTTTAACAATCGTTGACCACCCGTCAATCCGCGAAAATACCCGTGATTGTCACATTACCTGACATCACTTCAATCACATTCCCTTAATCAGGGTCATAATCCACACGTGTAAACCATGTACATTTTCTCATTTAATTCAACCGTGGTCGATGCACCACATTTTATACCCCATTATAGTCCATATGTATCCTTAGAAACAAATAACCCATGACCCAAAAGCTTGGCAAGGTAATACTGAAATTTTAAAATTTTGCAAAGAGTACCGGTACTGTGCAGAACTGGTACGCTTTTCCCATTGGACCTCACAGTACTGGTACGCTTTGCCCACTAGTCTTTATTGTACAAGTACGCAACACCGGTACTATTAACTCACTATACTTCATTGTACTTTTCATTTCCAACTCATTCATAAGCATATCATGTCCATCCAATACATGTATAATAAAGATTTTCATTTAATACAAGATCCATACATGCTCGATTATATTCATTGTCCATAAATTACATATCAACACTAGTTTTCATAAAAGTTTTACAAAAACTCAAAATAAAGCCACATTTAGGCTTTCTTCAACCTTGAGGTCCCATGCGAGGGCCTTCCTCCAGCATATATCCCGCATCCGAAATATTTTCCCGTATAGGGTGATCCACGCCCAGTAGAGTATTTCCTACTAAGGCTATTTCCCAACCTAAATGCATATGAATGTTCATGCAACTCTTTACAACCAACAACACCCCAAAACAAGAATATATTATTCAATGTTGGGATCTTAGCAATGTCATACCATGAAATGAGATGAGACTCACTCGTTCAACCCAACTAGAGCCATCCCTGGCACCTTTTCCCCTATTCAAATACATGGGTAATCAAAACCAGCTTTCCAACCGGTGGTTATTTATGGACTTACGACGCCCAATCGACAGGGAATTCATGGACTTCCACCAATGATTTCGCGTACATCGACACACTTTTTGGACTCTGATACCAACGGAGTGCGTCCTTGGTCATTGGGTCTCTCACCATTAGTAGTGTGACTGCCTGAATCCAAAGAAAGAGATTCACCCCAGGAAAAGAGGACAGTGATAAAGGCCAAAGTAAGTGAGAGTGAAAGTGAATCCACCACTAGTAGTGTGACGCCCCTCAAACCGAGGTTCCATTAACAACTGTTGACCACTAGTCAACCCATGAAAATACCCGTAATTGTCGCATTACCTGACATCACTTTAATCACATTCCCTATAATCGGGGTCATAATCAAGACATATAACCCATGTACATTTTCCCATTTAATTCAACCGTGGTCGATGCACCACATTTTATACCCCATTATAGTCCATTTGTATCCTTAGAAACAAATAACCCATGGCCCAAAAGCTTGGCAAGGTAATATTGAAATTTCAAAATTTTGGAAAGAGTATAGGTATGCTTTTCCCACTGGACCTTGTAGTACAGGTATGCTTTGCCCACTAGTCTTCGTTGTACGGGTACGCAACACCGGTTCTCTTAACTCACTGGGCCTTGTGATGCCGGTACTCAGTACTGGTTCTCCTTGCCCAATTTTGCCTATTTTACCTACTTTTCATTTCCAACTCATTCATAAGCATATCATGTCCATCCAATACACGTATAATAAAGATTTTCATTTAATACAAGATCCATACATGCTCGATTACATTCATTGTGCATAAATTACAAATCAAAACGAGTTTTCATAAAAGATTTACAAAAACTCACAATAAAGCCACATTTAGGCTTTCTTCAACCGTGAGGTCCCATGCGAGAGCCTTCCTCGAGCGTAAATCTCGCACCCGAAATATTTTCCAGTATAAGGTGAGCCACACCCGGTAGAGTATTTCCTAGTAAGGGTATTTCCCAACCTAAGTACATATGAATGTTCATGCAACTCTTTACAACCAAGAACACCCCAAAACAAGAATATATTATTCAATATTGGGATTTTAGCAATGTGATGCCAAGAAATGAGATTAGACTCATTCTTTCAACCCAACCGAGCCCTCCTTGGCTCCTTCTCCCCCATTCAATGAAATGGGTAATCAAAACCGGCTTTCCAAGCCCAGCCATTGGCGCTACACACCCAATGACTATTTAAAAATCTCCAAGTCTATCTTGGAGTGGGTATTTATGAACTTATAGCAACGACATCCAACCGACAACGAATTCACGGACTTCCACCAATGGTTTCACGTACATCGACAATTTTTATACGCTCTTATAGCAACGGAGTGCGTCCCCGATCACTAGGTCTCTCACCATTAGTAGTGTGACTGTCTAAATCAAAAGATAGAGATTCACCGAAGGAAAAGAGGACAGTGCTGAAGGCCAAAGTAAGTGAGAGTGAAAGTGAATCCACCATTAGTAGTGTGACGCCCCAAAAACTAAGGTTCCTTTAACAACCTTTGACCACCGTTTAACCCACGAAAATACCCCTGATTGTCGCATTACCTGACAGGATCTTCTCTCAAAATATCACAACTAGCATATACAACAGAAACCCAAAGAAAAGTGAATTCCTGAGTGTAATTTCCACAGTCAGTACTTGAACATGTTCAAACATTACCTTCAATTGATTCTCTCATCCCATAAAACCCAAATATTCCTTTCAGCTAAAGTATTAGAACAGAAATGCTCTAATCCAATGCTCCTAGCAAAAGGAACCAGTTTGGACACCAACAGTTTTGGCTCTTGAATTGCAACAAAACAAACATCATGCAATTTAATGAGTTTCTTTAATCTCCTCCTCGTAGCATCTTTACCTGCCCCTCTCATATTCCATGATAGAAAATTAATCATAAATTCATAGAAGAGTGGACACCACTGGAACTAAATCCATTATCATCCTCATTTCCATCCAAAGAACTACCAGAATTATCAGAATCAACATTTACAACCTTCTGAGTCCTAGAACTAGCTTGATCAGAGTAGTAACCTTTATCTGGAGGTTCTCTTACTCTAATCAAACCATTCTGATCATCTAAAGACTTCTGACTCCCTCTTATAACAGTCATTCCATTTTCAACTAAAAAGGAAGAACCCAAAGATTGAGCATAAAGAGTTTTACACTCTCCAAGAACTTCCATTAGGTTGACATCATTCAGACTCTGATTAAGGGGAACTAGTTTTTCCCCTATATTAACATTGTTTCCATCAATATCTCCCACATTTACCACCTCATTAACAACAGGCAAAAAGATAGGAGATGAAGAATAAGAAATCTCCAAGTTAGTACCTTCATGATCTGGCAGAATAGGAGATTCCAGACTGATGCCAACATTATCAGTGCCATCACCCTCTTGATTTCCACAATTCACAACCATTGGGGAAATATCAAGAGACCCAACCTCAACACCCACAACATCATTAATCAAAACAGCATTTGCAATATTACACACATTGATCATCTCCTGTGGAACTGGATCAGTGATCAGTTTATCAGCAACAGATGCTCCAATATCAGGACTCTTATCAGCACTGAATGTCTGCTCCATTACAGCCATATTCCTAGCATTTTCCATATCCTCCATTTCAATCACCCTTGCATTTCCCACCTCAGCATCAACAGTTGTAATATTTGGATTTGCAGCATTATCAATATTCACCATAATAACAGAAGATAATCCATTTTCAATAACCTTTTCAGGTAAACTTTCAGATAAATTCCTGCCATTATCCATTTCCTCCATTCCAACCTCCTCATTCAGTACAGCAAAGCTATTCTCCACAGCAGTAGTTTGATTCATGGATTTCTGTCTATATTCCTTTCTGGGATGCACACTCAGTCCATCTATAACAATAGCTTTTCCTTTCTTTTTCCTCCATTCCTCATCCTTGTTAAGAACATGTTCAGTTGTTTGCTTATTTTCAGAGGCATCACCTTCCACCTTCTTCTTTCTTCTGCACAATATTTCATCATGCCCTTGCTTAAGACAAGCAGGACAATATTTATACTCCTTTTCATATACTATCCTCTGCCAACGACCACTCACTCCCCCCATGTCTAACCAGAATCTCCTAGGATTACTGGCCAGAAGATTCATTTCCACACAAGCCCTGGCTACACCAGGCCTAGAGAGATTTAGAGTAGCATTGTCTATCACCAAAATTCTACCAACTGGACTCAATATATCCCTCAGACTCTCTCTATTAAACAAATGGATTGGAAGACCTGGCAAAGATATCCATACTGGTACAACAGGAGGCTCAATCCCAGGATAGAATTCTGGAAACCATTTGAAGAAACGAAAGAGGTAACCCTCAATGTATGTATTATCCTTTAGCCATACTTTCACATAATCCTCATACAAAGAAAATCTAATCAGGACATGCCTCGGATCAAGCACTCCTACAGAAAATTCCCCCTTCAATAACCATCTAGAATTAATAAACTCTTTTACCACACCCAGTGAGGGTCTACCATAGGCACATTTGCCAATAAGAGTTTGATTGAAACCTTTGGAAAGCTCCATAGTTTCAACAGGGGACCAATACATACCAGGTTCCCCTTTATTAAACACAACTCTCTTCGTAGGCTTCAGAGGATTTACAGCATTTAAGGAACCAAATAGAATTGGAGGCGAAGGAACCTGAATAGTAGAAGGATTCTGAGCATTCGATGTAACAAGAGGAACCTGAGACTCTCTTCCAGTAGTCGGGATCTGAGTTTTTGGCAGAAGTCGGTCAATCGAAGGATCTTGAGAAGATGAATTGGCTGGAGGAATCAAAACAGAATGGGAATGCAGATTAACTCCTTGAACATTTCGAACATTCGAAGAGTCGGTAGGAATCGGCATTCCTAATCCAGATGACGAACATTGATTATTTGTTGAAGATAACACAGCCGAAGGGAAAACAGAGGCATTCTGAACAGTCATCGAATTTCGATTCAGCTGAGAAACCAGAGGCATAGAAACGGTGTTATTGCATCCCAAAGGATCAACAAGTGTTAAGGAATTGATCTCTGAAGCAGCAGGAATTGTCCGAAAGTTTTCTACAGATGTGGTTTTCTTGAACAAGGAAGCAAAATTTTTGGTAATGTCAGGCGGTTTTGGAGGAATCTGATGAATTTCATGGCTAGATTTCATGCTATGACAATCAAAACAGTAAGAATTACAACAAATCACAAGTAAAATTGAAAAATTGAGATAGGAATGAAGAAGATCTGAAGAAGAAAGAGAAAATTCTAGAGAGAAGTCAGACCTTCTCTCTCTAAAAAGAAATAACTGCCCCCCCTCCTAAACCCTAAACCCTAAACCCTAAACCCTAAACCCTAAACCCTAAACCCTAAACCCTAAACCCTAAACCCTAAACCCTAAACCCTAAACCCTAAACCCTAAACCCTAAACACTAACCCTAAACCCTAAACCCTAAACCCTAAACCCTAAACCCTAAACCCTAAACCCTAAACCCTAAACCCTAAACCCTAAACCCTAAACCCTAAACCCTATTTTTTTTTTTTTTTTTTTCAATAAAAGGAGAAATTTTATTCCAGAAAAATGCAGAAATTACAAGAAGCAAAGCAGTACTGTTTTAAGGAAAAACAGTAATTGTAAACCAAATTACAAAGGAAAACTATATAAGGGCAAAAAAGTAATTTTTGCAACATAGTCCCTATATACAGTCTTCTTTTTCTGGTAAACATCCTCTTCCAGATCAGCATTAGGAACTGCAAAAATTCCAAGTTTTTGAACAGGAAAAAAATTCCCATCCAGAACTCCAACAGTCTGCCAACTTTCATTCATCCTCCAGCAGCTGAAACTCCTCACAAATTCCAACTGAGGGCAACCAATCTGCCTAGGTCAGTCCAGATACATGCACAGAAGAAACAGGATGAGAGAGGACCCCAACTGATATTGGGACTTGCAAATTCTGATAGAGAATCTGTTTGACAACTTTCTTCTACAGCCCTACTCAAACTCAGACAATCATTTTAATCAACCAATTCCTTTACTTTGCTTACAAAGTATTCTTTTCAATCTGACACTAGGTAAACCAGTCTGGTCTTGCTGCAGAATTAACCTTCCAGCCACTGGCAATACATTACTGCCAGAGAATTCAGTATATGTTTTTGAATGAACAGCAAAAGAAGCTAAAAAATCAGCCAATCCATTAGCTTCTCTGTAAATGTGTGAAATCTGCAAATTCATCATTCCAAATAACAGTTTAATCCTCTTTAACAGATCTTGCAACTGCCATGGAATAGCAGCCAGACCTTTCACCATATGAACTAGAATTTGAGAATCAGACTCCACCAAAATCAGAGAATCTGATAAACCATGCTGCAGGATCAACAGTAAACCATCAAACAATGCCATACATTCAGCTAACATGTTTGAACCAACCCCATAAAAACAAGCAGCAGCTGTAATAACTCTCCCTGCATGGTTCCTTACCACTACTCCTCCTCCTGATAATCCAGTCTTTCCTTTAGAGGCACCATCAACATTAAGCTTTAATACATTTATAGGAGGAAATGCCCAACTAATCCATTTAACCTTAGTAATTAAAGAATAAGGATTTTTGATGTTCAACTCTCTCAAAAGTTCCTGCCCCTTACCATCATCATTAGCTCTAGGCCTTATGACAAAAGCCTGCCATTTCAAAGTACTAACAACTTGTAGAAAAATTGCATGTGCATTCAAAAAAGATCCCTCATACTTCCTTCTGCATCTTTCCTTCCACAGAGCCCAAAAGATTAACATAGAAATCCCTCTAATCAAACTGTGACCGAGAGAAGGAACTTTGAATCTTCTGAGCAATCTCAAAAATCTGCATAAAGGAGACTCACCTGACAAAATATCAAACCCCATAATTACAGCAATTTTCCTCCAAACATATTGAGCTAAAGAACATTCAATGAAAAGATGAGCTATAGATTCCCCAGCTGAACCACACATTACACATCTACTAGCCATGGCCACTCCTACATGCTGAATTCTGTCATCAGAAGTCAAGGCTTTTTTAAAAATTTTCCAGGTGCATAACTGAGCACTAGGAAAAATTTCCTGCTTCCAAATACCTTGAACTATATCATTATGAGACCCCTTTTTCCTAATTTCATTCCAAGCAGATTTAACAGTAAAGCAGCCTGATTTGGTATGCCTCCAGATAAGTTTATCATTTGTGTCAGACCTCACCATCACTACACTTTCAATCTCAGAGCATATCTGAGGATTAAGCCATTCAGCTACCTTTTCAAGTTGCCATTCAACACCATTCCATAATTCATTAATCCTAGGGAAAAACAATGGAGGAGATTCCAATCTAAAAAATAAGGGACCAGACCTCAACCAAGAGTCACACCAAAAATCAGTATTCTGTCCATTGCCAACAATTTTCAAGGAATGCTGTACTGTAAACTTGAACCATGGTTGTAATATTTTGAAAGAAAGACCAGCTATAGTAGTTCCACATCTAATCATATGCTTCCCCTGAAAAAACTTTTCTTTAAAAACTTTGGCCCACAAAGAAGAACCATTTAAAATACCCCAAACCTGCTTGATTCTAAATGCTGTTTGAATTTCCTCAAGACTCCTAATTCCTAAACCACCTTCTGTTTTAGGTTTAGAGATATCATTCAATGAAACCCAGTGTCTTGTCTTAGATCCAATCTGATTTGACCAAATGAAGTTAGAGATAAGAGAATTCAGCTTACTTAATACACCTTTTGGAATATTCAGACAAGCCAATATGTGAATAGGGATTGAACTAAGTACTGATTGTATCAGTACAATTCTTCCCATACCAGATAACAATTTGGCATACCATCCCTCAATTCTCTTCCTGAATCTGCTCACCACCTCTTCAAAATAGCATTTCTTGATCCTTCCTCTGATAATGGGACATCCCAGATAAGTAAAAGGACATTCTTTAAAAGGAATTCCCACCTGAGTAGCCAAACTACTCCTTCTAGACAAGGAAATGAGCTTAGAACAAAAAATAGCACTCTTCAACTTGTTAACCTTTTGACCAGAGCTTGATTCATATATAGCAATAAACTTCATAACATTCAATACAGATTTTCTGTTACCTCTTAGAAAAATCAGAGTATCATCAGCAAACAATAGGTGACTCACAATAGTTGTTCCTCTCCCAATATGAAAATGATTAACCAAATTTTGACTATAAATGCTCCTCAGCCCTCTACTCAGTACTTCTTCAGCCAAGATGAATAAAGAAGGAGAAATAGGATCCCCCTGCCTTAGTCCTCTTGAATTAGCAAAATAACCATACCTTTGCCCATTTAAACATATAGTACAGAATTGGCTATTCAAACAGTTCAAAATGATATGATTGAACAAATCAGAAAATCCAAAACTAGCCAGAGCTTTCAGCAAGAAATCCCATTCCATCCTGTCATATGCCTTCATCATATCTAGTTTCATAACCATATTGCCACCTTCAACCTTCCTGTTCAATTCACCAACAAGCAGTTGCCCCAAAGCCACACAATCACTAATCCCTCTGCCTTGAACAAAACCATGTTGCTCCTCAGATATCAGAGCAGGAAGTAGAGGAGATAATCTAGTGTTTAGAAGCTTTGTAAAAATCTTATACATGAAGTTACATAGGCTTATAGGTCTGAAATCCGAAAATGTACTAGGATTCTCCTTCTTAGGAATCAAGACTAATAAAGTAGAATTCACAGATCTGGGGATCACACCTCCTTTAAGCAAAAAATTAATAGCTTTGACCACATCATCTTTAATGATATCCCAGGCAAATTGGAAAAACTTACCAGACATACCATCCGGTCCAGGAGCACTCTCTATAGCCATTGAGAAAACAACATCTTTCACTTCCTCCATAGTAGCTTCAGCAGTAAGTCTCTCATTATCCTCATTACTGATAAGCTTTGCAATAACATCAAATATGTATTCTTTGATGATATGCTCCTCAGACCCTAAACCCTAAACCCTAAACCCTAAACCCTAAACCCTAAACCCTAAACCCTAAACCCTAAACCCTAAACCCTAAACCCTAAAACCCTAAACCCTAACCCTAAACCCTAACCCCTAACCCTAAACCCTAAACCCTAAACCCTAAAACCCTAAAACCCCAAAAACCCTAAACCCTAAACCCTAAACCCTAAACCCTAAACCCCTAAACCCCTAAACCCTAAACCCTAAACCCCTAAAACCCTAAACCCTAAACCCTAAACCCTAAACCCTAAACCCTAACCCTAAACCCTAAACCCCTAAAACCCTAAAACCCTAAAACCCTTTTTTTTTTTTTTTTTTAAGGAAAAGAAAATTTTATTGAATAAAAACAGAAATTACAAGAAGCAAATAAGTCACTATTTTAAGCTAAAAACAGTGACTTATGAACATATAACATCAAAACAATACAAGGGTAAATTGGTAAATCAAAATTATAATCCCTTTGTAGTGTCTTCTTTCCATCCAGCTGAAACAATCCTGAACAAATGCCTAAAGCCACAGAAGAAATGGCCACAGATACAGTCCAGGAAGAGACAGGGAAGACCAACAGTCTGTCCAAAAAATTAGAATCAGCCCCTTAATAATCTGCAGCAGTGATCAGAATTCCAAGCAGCCAGATTGCAGTCCCTTCGACAGATCAGTCCAGAGACAACTCACATACATGCACTTCATTTAATAACCAGGGTGCTGAAATGGCCAGATGCAGAGTATACCATACAGCACATATCACCTATATAAACTGTACTGAAACAGCCTCCTTCAACATTCCAAGATGAAACGTAAAAGGGAGCAAGATGACATCAGAAAACCTGATCATCCAAACTCAAAAGCTCACAAAAGAAGTCCAGAAGATAGTCCAAGCAGATTGGAAAAGGAGCAGCCAACAGAAACTGAAGAACTACTCTTGATTCTAATAAATCATCTCAGAAGCCTACTAGAATCAACACAGATCCAACCAGCAGAAGAACCAAAGTAGAAACCCTTTAGAATGTTTCCTAGAATTATTACAATTTCCAGATTCTAGGTCTTTCATACTGTAGACACAAAATTAACCAATACCTTCTCTTTGATCACATATCAAACTCTTCAATCTGGCATAGGGAAAGCCATATAAATCTTGTTGCAATATCAGTCTTCCAATGGATGGCAGAATATTATTTGCAGAAAACTCAGTGTACTGTTCTGATTTAACTGCAAAGGAAGCTAAGAAGTCAGCCAGACTATTAGCTTCCCTATATATGTGTTTGATTTGCAAATTCAGAAAGCCAAACAGCATCTTAATCCTTTCAAGTAGATATTGCATCTTCCATGGAACAGCAGCTAATCCTCTCACCATTTGAAATAAAGAATAAGAATCAGTCTCCACCATAATCTGAGATGTTGTCAGACTGTATTGTAAAATCAGAAGTAAACCATCCAATAATGCCCTGCATTCAGCAAACATATTAGAACCAATACCATAAAAGCAGGAAGCTGCAGCAATTATTTGGCCTTCATGATCTCTCAATACCATCCCACCACCTGACAAGCCAGTCTTACCCTTAGAAGCACCATCAACATTTAGCTTTAGCACATTTGCAGGAGGAAGTTCCCATTTAATCCATTTAACCTTGGTGATTAAGGAAAAAGGACTTTTAATACTCAAGTCTCTCAACAACTCCTTTCCCTTACCATCATCATTTGATCTAGGTCTGATAAGAAAAGCCTGCCATCTTAAAGAACTCACTATTTGGTGAAAGATAGCATTGGCATTTAAAAATACTCCCTCATATTTCCTCCTACATCTTTCCTTCCACAAGGCCCAAAAAATTAACATAGAAACCCCTCTTATTAGATTATGACTGAGAGAAGCAGCTTTAAACCTTCTCAACAATCTCAAGAATCTGCATAAAGGAGCCTCTCCTGAAAATATATCAAATTCCATAATTGCAGCAATTTTCCTCCAGACAGCTTGAGCTAAAGAGCAATTAATAAATACATGAGCTGCACTTTCCCCATCCACACCACACATGACACATCTACTAGCCATTGCAACTCCCACATCTTGAACTCTATCATCAGAAGTCAAAGCTTTCCTGAAAATTTTCCAAGTGCAAAGTTGAGCACTAGGAAAAATTTTCTGTTTCCATATGCCTTTAGCAATAGCAGTTTGGTTCCCCACTTTCCTGAGCTGATTCCATGCAGATTTTACAGTAAATTCACCTGAAGTAGTATGCTTCCAAATAAGCTTATCAGATTCCTCAGATCTCACAAAAACCACCTTTTCAATTTCAGAACATAATTGAGGATTAAGCCATTCAGCAACCTCATTTAGCTGCCATGTTACCCCATTCCATAATTCTTTTATCTTGGGAAAGATCAATGGAAGATTCTCCATTCTAAGAATCAAGGGGCCAGTTTCCAACCATGAGTCACACCAAAAATCAGTGTTATGACCATTTCTAACAATTTTGAAAGAATTCTGTACTGTGAAATTGAACCAAGGCTTCAAGACATTAAATGATAAACCTGCACCACTGCTGCTACATCTTAGCATATGCTTGCCTTGAAAAAACTTCTCTTGAAAGACTTTGGCCCACAAAGAAGAACCCTTTAGAATGCCCCAGACTTGTTTACTTCTGAATGCCATCTGGACTTCATCAAAACTTCTAATTCCCAAGCCACCTTCTATTCTGGGCTTAGAAATATCATTAAGTGACACCCAATGTCTCCTCCTGGATCCAATTTGATTAGACCAAATAAAATCAGCAATAAGAGAGTTCAGCTTACTTAGAATTCCTTTTGGAATATTCAAACAAGCCAAAATATGAATGGGAATTGAGCTAAGTACTGACTGCACCAATACCACTCTTCCCATTCCAGAGAGAAGTCTGGCATACCAACCCTCAAGTCTTCTTCTAAAGCTGTTCACCACCTCTTCAAAGTAACATTTCTTAACTCTACCTCTGATAAGAGGACATCCCAAATAGGTAAAAGGACAGTTCTTCAAAGGAATCCCCATCACAGCAGCCAGCCTATTTCTTCTAGCTAGAGAGATCAGCTTGGAGCAGTAGACAGCACTTTTCATTTTGTTAACCTTCTGTCCAGAGCATGATTCATACAACTCAATAAATTGCAAAACATTCACTACAGAGGATTTATTACCTCTTAGAAAAATCAGAGTGTCATCAGCAAATAGCAAATGGCTAACAATTGTTGTTCCTCTCCCAATATGGAAATGTTTCACCAAATTCTGGTGATAAATTCTTCTTAGCCCTCTACTCAGCACTTCCTCAGCCAGAATGAATAAGGAAGGGGAGAGAGGATCTCCCTGTCTTAACCCCCTTGAATTAGCAAAATAACCAAATCTTTGGCCATTTAAGCAAATGGTAAAGAATTGGCTACTCAAACAATTCAAAATAATTTGATTAAACAAATCAGAAAAGCCAAAGCCAGCCAGTACCCTCAACAAAAAATCCCATTCCATCCTGTCATATGCTTTCATCATATCCAATTTCATAACCATATTCCCACCATCCACCTTTCTGTCTAATTCTCCAACAAGCAACTGTCCCAAGGCCACACAATCTCCAATACCTCTGCCTTGTACAAAGCCATGTTGTTCTTCAGAAATTAAAGCAGGAAGAAGGGAAGAAAGTCTAGTATTCAGAAGCTTTGTAAAGATCTTATATAAGAAATTACATAAGCTTATAGGTCTGAAATCAGCAAATGAACATGGATTTTCCTTCTTAGGAATCAATACTAACAAAGTGGAATTCACAGATTTAGGCATTGCACCTCCTGCTAGCAAAAAGTTAACAGCTCTGCCCACATCTATTTTAATAATATCCCAGGCAAATCGAAAAAACATACCAGACATACCATCAGGCCCAGGGGCACTTTCAACTGCCATTGAGAAGACCACATCTTTCAATTCCTCCAAAGTGGCTTCAGCTGTGAGCCTCTCATTATCCTCTTGACTGATGAGCTTAGGAATAACATCAACAAAAATTTGTTCATTGATGATATGCCTTTCAGACTTGTAAAGATCAACATAAAATTCCTCAGCTACCTCAGCCACTTGCTTATTCCCACATACCCATACCCCTTCTTTATTCTTGATTCTTGAGACTTTATTTCTAACCATTCTACTTTTAGCAATAGAATGGTAAAATCTGGTATTCCTTTCCCCCTGTACAGCCCATTTTATATTTGACTTTTGCTTCCAATAAGTTTCTTCTCTTCTTAGCCAATCATCCATCTCATTCTTAGCAGCTTTTAACTCTATGTCTTGTGAATCAGAAAACCTCTGATCTACCTCCTGTTCCAACAAACTTATTTTTTGCTCCAGATTTCTCAATTTGTCAAAGAGATTTCCAAACACATTTTTATTCCACATCTTCATATGAGCCTTCAAATATTTCATCTTGATGAACAAATTTGACATTGGATTATCTGAATAGTGCCCTCCCCAATTTGCTTTAATCAGATCAAAAAATCCCTCATGATCACACCACATGTCTTGAAATCTAAAATAAGAGAGTCTTTTCTGTACAGGAGCATCCATGATTTTCATCAATAAAGGGCTATGATCAGAGGAGCCCCTTGCTAAATGAGCCACTTCCATACTATCAAAATTCAAATTCCAGCAAGCATTAATCAGAGCTCTGTCCAACCTCTGCTTCATTCTGATACCCCCATTCCTGTTATCACACCAGGTAAATTTATTGCCCACAAAACCAGCATCCAGCAAACCCCTATGATTTACAAAATCACCAAAATCCTCTATAGACTGCTGAGAAGGAGGGGCTCCCCCCAATCTTTCATCAGAAGAGAGGATTGAATTGAAATCACCAACCACCATCCAAGGGACATCAGAGGGAACATCAATTCCCAACAAATGATCCCATAATAGCCTTCTTACAAAAGGATCACAACTAGCATATACAATTGAGATCCAAAAAATAGTTGAATTCAGAAAAGTTATTTCCACAGTCAATACTTGATCATGCTCAAACAAGATTCTCAACTTGATTCTCTCATCCCATAAAATCCAAATTTTCCTTTCTGCAAGGGCATTAGAACAGAAGTGCTCTAAACCAATACTCCTAGCAAAAGGAACCAATTTAGAGATCAGTAATTTAGGCTCTTGAACTGCAACCAAACAAACATCATGCAATTTAATAAGCTTCTTTAATCTCCTCCTCTTGGCCTCCTTACCTGCCCCTCTCATATTCCATGATAGGAGATTAATCATAAATTCATAGAAGATGGAACTTTACTGGAACTAAGTCCATTACCCTCATCCTCTTCTTCAACAGAACTCCCAGAAATATCAGATTCAACATTTACAATTCTCTGAGGTCTAGAGCTAGCCTGATCTGAAAAATAACCCTTATCTGGAGGTTCTTTCATTCTAACCAAACCAGACTGATCATCTACAGAATTTTGGCTTCCTTTTCTAACAACAAATCCATGTTCCAAAAGGAAGGATGAATCCATTGATGGAGCATAAAAATTCCTACATTCTCCCAAAATCTCTATATTTTCATGAACCACCATATTGTCATTATTAACAACCTCAAATACAGGAACTCCAACATTGATCTCCTCATTAATAGGATTTAATGGAATAGGGGAGGAAAAAGAATTTACCTCCAATGTAGCCCCCATAGTGACTGTATTTATGGGAATTTGATTTCTAGAATCAGAAGCAATAGTTACTCCTGGATTATTCTCTTGCTGTATTCCCTCCAATCTGATATCAGCATTATTAGTATTGCCAACTCCTTGAGTATCACATTCAAAACTTGCCTGAGGGTTCTCCAGAATGACAGTATCCTTTCTAACATCCTCCCCCTGTATTTCAACATTTCCAATACCAATCTCCTGAATAGAAGGAGATCCTTCATTATTAGTGACCTTGTCTGGTATTATTTCCTGTTCATTTACATTCATTTCCTTCCCAATATCTTGCTCTTCTATAACAGTATTCTCATTTAAAACAGAAAAACTATTCCCCACAGCAGTAGTTTGAGGATTAGATTTCTGTCTATATTCCTTTCTAGCCTGTCCTCTCAGACCATCTGTAGCCATAGCTTTACCTTTTTTCTTCTTCCACTCCTCATCCTGAGGAATATTATTCCCTGCCTCCTGCTTCTTATCAGAAATATCATCTTCCACTTTCTTCTTCCTTCTACACTGCACTTCATCATGCCCCTGCTTAAGACAAGCAGGACAATACCTGTACTCTTTTTCATACACTATCTTTTGCCATCTGCCACTAACACCTCCCATATCTAACCAGAATCTCTTAGGATTGTTGATAAGAAGATTCATCTCAACACAGGCCCTGGCTACCCCAGGTCTAGAAAGGCTAAGGGTAGCATTATCTATCACCAGAATCCTGCCTATTGGACTTAAAATATCTCTCAGACTTTCTCTGTTGAATAAATGGATTGGAAGCCCAGGTAAGGATACCCATACAGGTACAATAGGTGGCTCAATCCCAGAATAAAACTCTGGAAACCATTTAAAAAACCTGAAAAGATAACCCTCAATGTATGTTGTATCCTTCAGCCACACTTTAACATAGTCCTCATAGAGAGAAAATCTGATCAGTACATGCCTCTGATCTAACACACCTACAGAAAAATCCCCTTTCAGAAGCCATCGAGACTTGATAAATTCTTTCACCACCCCCAGAGAAGGTTTACCATAGGCACATTTGCCAATAAGAGTTTGACAAAAACCTTTAGAAAGTTCTAAGGTTTCATTGGGGGACCAATACATCCCAGGCTCTCCTTTGTTAAAGACTACCCTCTTTGCAGTTTTAGGAGGATTCACCAGATTTAAGGAACCAAAAACAATATTAGACGCAGGATTTTGACTACCTGAAGGATTTTGAGAATTCGAAATGACTATTGGAATCTGAGTATCTTTATCAGAAGCAGGGATTTGCGATTTGTTCAGATTTCGATCCATCGAGGATTCAAGAATTTCCAAAGGAATGGATTGGGGGATTAGAGAAGGTGGAGGATTCATAAGCACTCTCTGTGTGTTTCGATCAATAACAGATTCAATAGGAACATGATAGCCTAACCCAGATGAAGAACTCTGATCATTTACAGCAGTCGATACATTCGCAGGAAGAACAGAGGCCAGACGAACAGTCGGCTTGGTTTGATTCACTTGAGATATAAGAGGCATAGAGATGGTGTTATTCCCTCCCAAAGGATCTACATTTGTTAAGGAATTAAATTCTGAAGTGATAGGGATTGTTGGAACATTTTCAATCGGAGCAGATTTCTTGAACAAGGAGGCAAAGTTTTTGGTAATGTCTGGAGGTTTTGGTGGAATTTGATTGTGTTCTTGGGCTAAAACCATGCTCAATCAATCAATACAACAGTAGGAATCAAAGATTTCACAAAAATAGTGAAGAATCAGATGGAAAACAAGAAGATCTGGAAAAAGAAATAAAGTTTCTAGAGAGAAGTCAGACCTTCTCTCTCTAGAATGAAATAACTGCCTCTCTCTAAACCCCTAAAACCCTAAACCCTAAACCCTAAACCCTAAACCCTAAACCCTAAACCCTATACCCTATACCCTAAACCCTAAACCCTAAACCCTAAACCCTAAACCCTAAACCCTAAAACCCCAAAACCCTAAACCCTAAACCCTAAACCCTAAACCCTAAACCCTAAACCCCGAACCCGAACCCGAACCCCGAACCCCGAACCCCGAACCCTAAACCCTAAACCCTAAACCCTAAACCCTAAACCCTAAAACCCCAAACCCCAAACCCCAAACCCCAAACCCTGAACCCGATCCCCGAACCCCGAACCCTAAACCCCTAAACCCTAAACCCTTTTTTTTTTAATAAAAGAGAGAATTTTTATTGAAGAAAAATGCAAGAAATTACAAGAAGCAAAGCAGTACTGTTTAAAGATAAAAAACAGTAACTGTAGAACAATTACAAAGGAAAAAACATATAAGGGTAAAAAAGTAATTTTGTAACATGGTCCCTATATGCATTCTCCTTTTTCTAGTAAGTATCCTCTCCCAAACCAGCATTAAAGAATTTCATGCTCCAGTCCAAGCTTTGAGCAGGAAGAAACTGCAGGTATAGAACAAAGCTGGAAGAATTCCCATCTTGAAGTCCAAAAGTCTGCCAAAAACTCCTTTTATATGCCTACCTTCATCCAGCTAAAGCACTCAACAATCACAGCAGCAAAATGTAATCCAGCAGCTGAAAATCCTCAACCAATCTTCAGCTGAGAGCAATCAATTACAGTCCATTACTTATCAAAGAATCCAAACAGTCTGCCTAGAACAGTCCAGATACATTCACAGATCTTGATAACTTAGAAACATCCCCTCTGAATACCAGATGCATTATAGGGAAGCTCAATCATCAATACATCTCCTATAAAAGAGAAGGGGAATACAGTCCTCCTGATCAATCCAAAATGAAGCGTAAAAGAGAGCAGGATGATAGAAGGAATACTGATCAACCACCCTCCAAGGCCAACAAGAGAAATCCAGAAGATAGTCCAAGAGGAAGAAGGAATAGTCAGAAAACTCCAGAAATGGAAGTTCTGATTATACTGCTGATAGAGCATCTCAAACGTTTGTTGGAAACAGAAAGGCAGGGCCAACAAACCAAAGAAGCAAAGTGAAAGAAGACCCACTGACCTCCAGACCTTCTGCATTCTGTAATTTCATTAGATTGAATTAAAAAGAATTTGCAAATTCTGATGGAATTCTTGAATCTATTAGGCAACTTTCTTCACAGCCTTACTCAGACTCAGATAAGCATTAATTTAATCAACCAATTCCCTGCCTTTGACTGCAAAGTAGTCTTTTCAATTTGACATTAGGTAAACCAGTCTGGTCTTGCTGCTGAATTAGCCTTCCAGCCACTGGCAATACATTACTGCCAGAGAATTCAGTACATTTTTTTGAATGAACAGCAAAAGAAGCTAAAAAATCAGCCAATCCATTAGCTTCTCTGTAAATGTGTGAAATCTGCAAATTCATCATTCCAAACAACTGCTTAATCCTCTTTAACAAATCTTGCAATTTCCATTCAAAAAACTTTTCTTTAAAAACTTTGGCCCACAAAGAAGAGCCATTCAAAACTCCCCATACCTGCTTGATTCTAAATGTTGTTTGAATTTCATCAAAACTTCTAATCCCCAAACCACCTTCTATATTGGGTTTAGAAACATCAGTCAATGAAACCCAATGTCTTCTTTTGAACCAATCTGATTTGACCAAATGAAGTCAGCAATCATAGAATTCAGCTTACTCAAAACACCTTTTGGAATATTCAGACAAGCCAATATATGAATAGGGATTGAACTAAGTACTGATTGTATCAGCACAATTCTTCCCATACCAGATAACAGTTTGGCATACCAGCCCTCAATTATTTTCCTGAAGCTGTTCACCACTTCTTCAAAATAGCATTTCTTAATCCTTCCTCTTATAATAGGACAGCCCAAATAAATAAAAGGACAGTCTTTAAAAGGAATTCCCACCTGAGCAGCAAGTCTATTCCTTCTAGACAAGGGAATTAGCTTAGAACAAAATATTGCACTCTTCAATTTGTTAACCTTTTGACCAGAGCTTGATTCATACAGATCAATAAACTGCAGGACAATAGGTGACTCACAATAATTGTTCCTCTCGCAATATGAAAATGTTTTACCAACTTCTGTTTATAAATGTTCCTCAGCCCTCTACTCAATACTTCCTCAGCCAAGATGAATAAAGTGGGAGAGATAGGATCTCCCTGCCTTAGCCCTCTTGAATTAGCAAAATAGCCATATCTTTGTCCATTTAAACATATAGTAAAGAATTGGCTCTTCAAACAGTTCAAAATAATTTGGTTGAACAAATCAGAGAAACCAAAACTAACTAGAGCCTTCAGCAAGAAATTTCATTCCATCCTGTCATATGCTTTCATCATATCCAATTTCATAACCATATTTCCACCCTCAACCTTCCTGTTCAATTCACCAACAAGCAGTTGTCCCAAAGCCACACAATCACTAATCCCTCTCTCTTGAACAAAACCATGTTGTTCCTCAGATATTAAAGCAGGAAGTAAAGGAGACAGTCTAGTGTTGAGAAGCTTTGTAAAAATCTTATACAGGAAGTTACATAGGCTTATAGGTCTGAAATCTGAAAATGAACTAGGTCCCTCCTTCTTAGGAATCAAGACTAATAAAGTGGAATTCACAGATTTGGGCATTAAACCTCCTTTAAGCAAAAATTTAATAGCTATGACCACATCAACTTTAATAATATCCCAGGCAAATTGGAAGAATTTACCAGACATACCATCCGGTCCAGGAGCACTCTCTATAGCCATAGAAAAAACAACATCTTTCACTTCCTACATAGTAGCTTCAGCAATAAGCCTCTCATTATCCTCTTTACTGATAAGCTTTGGAATGACATCAAAAATATGGTCTTTGATGATATGCTCCTCAGACTTATAAAGATCAGTATAGAATTCCTCAACAACATCAGCCACCTGTTTGTCACCATATACCCATACTCCTTCTTTATTCTTGATTCTTGAAACTTTATTCCTGCTAACTCTACTTTTAGCCATAGAATGATAAAATCTGGTATTCCTCTACCCCTGAATAGCCCATTTCACATTTGACTTTTGCTTCCAGTAGGTTTCCTCCCTTCTCAACCAATCATCCATCTCACCTTTAACCATTTCTAACTCCAAAGCTTTGGAATCAGAAAAGTTTTGATCTAATTCCAGTTCAATTGCACTAGTCTTTTGTTCAAGCTTTTTCAACTTTTCAAAAAGATTACCAAAAACCTCTTTATTCCACAACTTCATGTGAGTCTTCAGATATTTCATTTTGATGAACACATTTGACACTGGGTTATCTGAATACTGTCCAGTCCACTTAGATTTAATTAGAGCCAGAAAATCTTCATGATCACACCACATATCTTGAAATCTAAAATAGGAGATTCTTTTCTGTATAGGACTGTCCATAATTTTCAATAATAAAGGACTATGATCAGAGGAACCTCTTGCCAAATGAACCACTTCCATACTATCAAATTCCAGATTCCAATAAACATTAATCAGAGCTCTATCCAGCCTCTGCTTCATTCTTGTAACCCCAGTTCTATTATCACACCAAGTAAATTTATTTCCAACAAAACCAGCATCCAACAACCCCCTGTGATCCAAGAAATCACCAAACTCCTCCATAGATAACAAAGAAGGAAAAGCTCCTCCCAATCTTTCAGCAGAAGATAAAATGGTATTGAAATCACCAACTACCATCCAAGGAACCTTAGGAGGAACATCAATATTCAACAAATGTGACCATAAGGACCTTCTCGTAAAAAGATCTCAACTAGCATATACTACAGAAACCCAAAGAATAAGTGAATTCATAAATGTAATTTCCACAGTCAATACTTGAGCATGTTTAAATAAGACCCTTAGCTTAATTCTCTCATCCCATAATATCCAAATATTCCTTTCTGCTAGAGCATTGAAACAGAAATGTTCTAGACCAATACTCCTAGCAAAAGGAACCAATTTAGACACCAACAATTTAGGCTCTTGAATTGCAACAAGACAAACATCATGCATTTTAATAAGCTTCTTTAATCTCCTTCTCTTGGCATCTTTACTTGCCCCTCTCATATTCCATGATAGAACATTAATCATAAGTTCATAGGAGAAGGAACATTACTGGAACTAAATCCATTACCATCCTCATTCTCATCAAAAGAACTCCCAGAATTATCAAAATCAACATTTACAATCTTCTGGGTTCTAGAGCTGGCTTGGTCAGAATAGTAACCTTTGTCTGGAGGTTCTCTCACTCTAATCAAGCCATTTTGATCATCTAAAGAATTTTGACTTCCTTTCCTGACTGTAAATTCATTTTCAACTAAAAAGGAAGAGCCCAAGGATTGAGCATAAAGAGTTCTACACTCTCCAAGGACTTCCACAAGGTTGAGATCATTCATATCATTATTAAGAAGAGCTAAATTTTCCTCTATATTAACCTCGTTTCCTTCAATGTCTCCCACATTAACCACCTCATTAGCAGAAGGCAAAAAGATAGGGGAGGAAGGGGAAGAAATCTCAAAATTAGTACCTTCATGATCTGGCAGAATAGGATCCTCCAATCTGATATCAACAATATCAGTACCATCACCATCTTCAATTCCACAATCAAAAGCCATTGGGGAATTATCAAGACTCCCAACATCAACTCTCACAGTATTCCCTTTGTGAAATCCAATATCCCTTACTACAGCATTAACAGTATCACAAACATTGTTCATATCCTGTGGAACTAGTTCAGTAATCAACTCATCAGCAGCAGATGCTCCAATATCAGTAATCTTATCAGAAAAGATTGTCTGTCCCAATAAAGGCATATCTCTACCATTCTCCATATCCTCCATTACAATCTCCCTTGCATTACCCAAGTCAAAAGCAACAGTTGTATCATTTGGATTTGCAGAATCATTAATACTCACCATAACAGCAGGAGATACACCATTTTCAATAACCTTTTCAGGTAAAATTTGCTGGAATTGTACAGGTAGATTCCTATCATTATCCATTTCCTCCATTACAACCTCCTCATTCAGTACAGCAAAACTATTCTCCACAGCAGTAGTTTGATTCATGGATTTCTGTCTATATTCCTTTCTGGGATTCACATTCAGTCCATCTATAACCACAGCTTTTCCTTTCTTCTTCCTCCATTCCTCATCATGATTTAAAACATTCCCAGTTGTTTGCTTATTCTCAGAGGCATCTCCTTCCGCTTTCTTCTTCCTTCTGCACAACATTTTATCATGCCCTTGCTTAAGACAAGCAGGACAATATTTATATTCCTTTTCATATACTATCCTCTGCCAACGACCATTGACTCCCCCCATGTCTAACCAGAATCTCTTAGGATTACTGGCCAGAAGATTCATTTCCACACAAGCCCTGGCTACACCAGGCCTAGAGAGATTTAGAGTAGCATTGTCTATCACCAAAATTCTACCAACTGGACTCAATATGTCCCTCAGACTCTCTCTATTAAACAGATGGATTGGAAGACCTGGCAAGGATATCCATACTGGTACAACAGGAGGTTCAATCCTAGGATAGAATTCTGGAAACCACTTGAAGAATCTAAAAAGGTAACCCTCAATGTATGAAGTATCCTTTAGCCATACTTTTACATAATCCTCATACAGAGAAAACCTAATCAGTACATGCCTCGGATCAAGCACTCCTACAGAGAATTCCCCTTTCAATAACCATCTAGAATTAATAAACTCCTTTACCGCACCCAGTGAAGGTTTACCATAGGCACATTTGCCAATAAGAGTCTGATTAAAACCTTTGGAAAGCTCCATAGTTTCAACAGGGGACCAATACATCCCAGGTTCCCCTTTATTAAAAACAACTCTCTTAGTAGGCTTCAGAGGATTTACAGAATTCAAGGAACCAAATAGAATTGGAGAAGAAGGAATATGATTGCCAGGAGGATTCTGAGCATTCGATATAACAACAGGAACCTGAGTTTCTTTTTCAGAAATCGAGATCTGAGATTTTGGCAGAATTCGATCCACCGAAGGATTTTGAGAAAGCAAAATAGACGGGGAAATCAACGAAGATTGGGAATGTAGATTAATTCCCTGAGTGTTTCGAACATTTGAAGCATCAACAGGAATCTGCATTTCTAATCCAGAAGACGAACATTGATTATTTGTTGAAGTTGACACAGCCGAAGGAAGAACAGAGGAAAACTGAACAGTCGGTGTGTTTCGATTCAGATGAGAAATCAGAGGCATAGAAACGGTGTTATTACATCCCAAAGGGTCAGCAAGTGTTAAGGAATTGATCTCCGAAGCCGCAGGAATTGTCAGAAAGTTTTCCACAGATGAAGTTTTCTTGAACAAGGAGGCAAAATTTTTGGTAATGTCAGGCGGTTTTGGGGGAATCTGATGAGTTTCATGGCCAGATTTCATGCTATGACAATCAAACCAGTAGGATTTTCAACGAAATCACAAGAAATAATGAAAATTGAGGTAGAAATGGAGAAGATCTGAAAAGGAATGAGCAATTTCTAGAGAGAAGTCAGACCTTCTCTCTCTAGAATGAAATAACTGTCTTTCTAAACCCTAAACCCTAAACCCGCATTAGAGTCGCAGCCCAGCCATAGAACAAAGCCCCCTACCTCATTCTAGAAGAACACAAAACACCCTCACAATTACACCAAAGCACTTTGAATGTAATTGTAAGGATGAGAATGTCCCTTAAAATGAAAAGTAAATGAAGCAGACAAAAAAATAGCCAAACTGTCCAACCAGCACCATCACAGAATAACAGAAGCATGAGTAATAGAACACCATGCCCTTTAAGGAGAAATAAAACAGAGGAAACAATCGCCTCGCACCATAGAAAACCACCAAGGCAAAGGGGTTAACCTGCTCCATAACGCTTATCAAATGCAATCACCTGTTTTTTCCTAGGAAAACACAACCCAATTTGATCCTGTTGAAGGGCAATTATGCCTGACAAAGGTAGACAAGACTGAGAAGAGAACTCAGTCCATGAAGTAGTCTGAACGGCATAAGAGGCAAGAAAGTCAGCAACTCCATTAGCTTCCCTGTATATGTGGTTTAATTGGAAATGCATAGTGTTCAAAGCAGCCCAGATCTGATCCAATTTCCTTTGTAATCTCCAAGGAGTTTCTGATTTTTTAATGATCATGTGAACAAGCACTTGAGAATCGGATTCAATTAAAATCTGATACTGCTCAAAACCATGAAGTTTAATTAAGTTTAAACCATCAAGCAGTGCTCTACATTATGCATTCATAATGGATCCCATCCCATAATAGGCTGTAGCAGCGAAAACCAAGTGCCCCTTACAATTCCTTAGGACCATGCCACCTCCAGACAGACCATTAGAGCCTTTACGGGCTCCATCCACATTGAGTTTAAACATATAGGCAGGGGGGGCTCCATTTGATCCACGAAACCTTGGTGGAAACAGAGAAGGAAAGGTCCACCTTTAGATCCTTGAGCATCTCAACACCACCAAGGTCATCCATTCTAGTAGGCTTAGTCAAGTACACCTACCATTTCAAGGAACTGGTCACTTGGGCAAAAATAGCATAGTCATTCATCTCTGTTCCCTCAAATCTCCTTCTGCACCTTTCAACCCAAATGGCCCAGAACACCAGCATAGGAACCCCCCGTTTCAAGGCATGACTGACAGTCTGGGATTTAAAGCATTTCATTACCCTCCAGCATCTGGACAATGGCGTTTCACTTGTAATTAGACCAAACCCCATCAAGCCAGCTAACCTTCTCCAAACTGAATCAGTAAAAGGACAATTGACAAAAACATAGACAGAATTCTCTTCATGAAGTCCACACAGGTTGCATCTGCTAGCAGGAGCCACGCCAACTTTTTTAATTCTTTTATCAGTAGTTAAGGCATTTTTGAATAATTTCCAAGTACATAATTGGGCCCTTGCAGAAATTTTTTGCTTCCAAATGCCCTGCATAATAACATTCTGCAACCCTCTTCTTCTGATATGGTCCCATGCAGAATGCATAGAAAAGAGGCTAGAGTTAGCATGTTCCCAGACTTTCCTGTCTGGGTTCCCAGTCAATGTAACTCTAGAGTAGAAAATATTAGATAACAATTAGGAGGAGAGCCAATTAGTCACTCTATCCAGCTGTCATCCCTCCTCATTCCATAAATCACTAATACTGGGAAAGTCTAAAAGGGTACCTTCGATTCTATGAAGTAAAGGGCTTGCTTCCAGCCAAGCATCACACCAGAAGTCCACCTTCTGACCATTACCAACGATCATCACAGAGTTATTAACAACAAAATAAAACCAAGACCTGAGAATTTTAAAGCTTAAACCTGGTCCAGCATTCCCACATCTCAACATATGCTTCCCTTTGAAAAACTTCTCCTTTAAGACCTTTGCCCATAAAGACTTGCCATTCAAAATTCCCCAAGCCTGTTTTATTCTAAATGTAGATTGTATTTCACCAAAACTTCTAATCCCTAGACCACCTTCCTCTTTGAGTTTGGAAATATTTTCAAGAGAAACCCAGTGCCTCCTTTTAGTGTCCAGTTTGCTAGACAAAAGGAAGCTAGCAATTAGGGAGTTTAACTTTTTCAAAACTCCTTTGGGGATGTTCATACATGCAAGAATGTGAATAGGAACGAAATTAAGGACAGATTGGATCAAGAAAACTCTACTCATTCCTGATAACATCTTAGCATACCAGCCCTCAATTCTCCTTCTAAATGACTTCACCACCTCTTCAAAATAACACAGTCTGGACATGCCCCTAATTAAAGGGCATCCTAAATAAGTGAATGGGCAATTCTTGATAGGGATACCCATAAGGGATGACAGAGCATTTCTTCTTGCCAAAGGAATCCTCTTAGAGCAGTACAAGGCACTCTTCTGTTTACTCACTTTCTGCCCAGAACAAGCCTCATAATCCCCAATAAACTTTAACACATTCACGGCAGATTTCTTGTCACCTCTAAGAAAGACCAAAGTGTCATCCGCAAAGAGTAAATGGCTCACCACAGTAGTACCTCTCCCAATGTGATAGTGTTTCACTAACTGTTGTTGGAATATGTTTGTCAGACCCCTACTTAAGACCTCCTCAGCAAGGATAAATAAGGCAGGGGAAAGAGGATCACCCAGCCTTAAGCCACGAGAGTTGGGAAAGTAACCAAACCTCTGCCCATTTAAACATATAGAAAAAAAATTGAGAATTCAAGCAGTTGGATATAATTTGAATGAATAAATCTGAAAAGCCAAAACTAGTCAGCACTCTCAGCAAAAAATCCCATTCAACACTTTCATAAGCTTTCATCATATCAAGCTTCATCACCACATTGCCACCCTCAATCTTCCTATCCAACTCCCCAACCAGAAGTTGGCCCAGAGCAACACAGTCACCAATACCCCTGCCTTGGACAAAACCATGCTGCGCCTCAGAAATCAGCCCAAGGAACAAAGACGACAACCTCTCAATGATCAGCTTAGAAAAGATCTTATAGACAAAGTTGCATAAGCTAATAGGCCTGAAATTAGAGAAGGACTGGGGTACCTCCTTCTTGGGGATCAGCACCAGCAGGGTGGAGTTAGCAGATTTAGGCATAATCCCCCCTTTTAACAAGAAGTTGACAGCTTTCCAAACATCAACCTTGATAATGTCCCAGGCAAACTGAAAAAACTTACCTAAAAAATCGTCTGGTCTAGGGGCACTTTCAGCAGCCATAGCAAAAAACCACGTGCTTGACCTCTTCAAAAGACGCCTCAGTTGTGAGTCTCTCATTCTCAACCTGAGAAACTACATCAGGTAAATTAGAAAATAAGTGGTCCATCAAAAAATTCTCCTCATATTTGTACAAATCAACAAAGAACTGCTCTGCCAATTCAGCAATCTGCTTCTCATCATCCACCCATGACCCTTCATTATTCTGAATTCTGACCACCTTGTTCCTCATCACTTTACTCTTCGCAATGGCATGATAAAATTTTGTGTTTCTTTCTCCTTGCATAGCCCAGATTATGTTAGACTTCTGCTTCCAGAATATTTCCTCTCTTCTCAGGAGATTTTCCAACTCACCTTTGCAGACATCAAGTTCTCTGCTTTTAGTGGAACAGAATCCTGATCAAGCTCCATCTCAGCCATCTTAACTTTCTGTTCCTAAACTTTTATATTCTCAAACAGGTTGTCAATGATTTCCTTGTTCCAAATCTTAATATGGGCTCTCAAGTATTTCAACTTGATACAAAAATTGGACATTGGATTATCAGAGTAATAACCACCCCATTTGGATTCAATAAAGTTCAAAAAATCCTCATGATCACTCCACATGTCTTGAAATTTAAAATAAGAAATTCTCCTCTGAACAGGAGCCTCCAGCACTTTCGTAAGTAAAGGGTTGTGGTCAGACGATGCCCTAGCCAAATGCACAACCTCCAGGCTTTCGTATCTCAAGTTCCAAGCAACATTTATTAAGGCCCTATCCAACCGCTGCCTCATCCTCACATGGCCTTCTCTATCATCGCACCATGTAAATTTATTGCCACTAAACCCCCCATCCATCAGACCCATTTGGTCCAAAAAATCCCCAAACTCTTCCATGGATCTCCAAGAAAGAGAAGCACCGCCCCTCCTCTCATCAGAATTAAGAATAGTGTTGAAGTCCCCAACCACCATCCATGGCATATCAGGAGGGACCTCCATATCCATCATGTGTTGCCATAATGATCTTCTCAGCAAATAGTCACACCTAGCATAAACAACAGAAATCCAGAAAGGATTAGAGTTCATCCAGGTCAACTTAACAGTAATGACCTGCTCATGTTCAAGTAAGACATCAATCGTCACTCTTTAATCCCATAAAAGCCAAATGTTCCTTTCTGTAAGAGAATTAAAGCAGAAATGCCTTAGTCCAATACTCCTAGCAAAAACAGGAATCTTAATCACTAAGGTTTTAGGCTCTTGAATAGCCACAAAACAAACATCATGCATCTTAATAAGTTTCTTTAATCTCCTTCTCTTAGCCACCTTGACTGCTCCTCTCATATTCCATGAAAGTAAATTAATCATAAATTTGTAGATTGAGGGGCCCCCCTGGAACTTAATCCATTATCATTCGTGTCATCATTATAAGAACTATCTCACGTTCTAAGCCTGTTTTCTTCATTTTCTTCATGAAAGGAGCTATCAGAGTCAATTGTCACCTCTCTATAAGTTCTAGAGCTGCCCTGGTCAGAGTAGTACCCCTTATCAGGAGGCACTCTTACACTAACCAGCCCCAATTGATCATCAAAAATACCTACGCTTCCTGTCCTTATATCATAATCATGCTCCACTAGAAAGGAGGAATTTAAAGAAGGGGCATAAATAGAAAAATAGCTCCCCAAATTCTCTTTGGTTCCCCCATATCCTTTAGAATTCAAAGAAATGCCCTCATTTGCCACTAAGGCAAGATCATCCTTTTCCAACACAGTTTCCTCCACACCAAAAGCATTAAAATCATTATTAACAAAAAGGACAAGTGAAGAAGAGGAGAGGGTATCCAAACTGTTCACAACAAAATTAGATGAAATCTGAGGTTGCTTTGCCACTGAACAGACCTCAACATAAAGCCTTTCTTTATTAATTTCTGCAATATTTGGTTTAAGTGCAGAGCCCTGAGCCTCTTCACAGGCCCACAGACCCTCCTGTTGCAATCCCATGTCTTGCTGAGCCTCAAAATCCAGGTTCTTTGGATGTCATTCCCCTTGCTGATTATCATTTAATACCTCCTCCAAATGCCTCTGGGTACTTTCACCCAAGTTCACTTGGGTTAAGGGTCTTTTTCCATCATCATTGAGCAGTTCCACCAACATATTCCCCTCTTTTATAGCAGCAAAGCTGTTTCCCCTCACTGGAGCCTGCTAATGGAGCACCTCAATGATTTCCTCTGCCTCCACATTATAACCTGAATTTTCCCCTCGCAGCATGTTAAATTTGTTGCTAGGCTCCTTACCACCTTCTCTTGGTTCTTTTGACTTGTCGTTTCCTTGAGTTGCTTGTTGATTATCTTGCAAGGTTGCTTTGGGAATTCCTTTCCTTATAACTCTCTTTCATTCCTTTTCTTTCCCCTTAGGTTCATCAACCTTCTTAGGATTTCCAGCTATCAACTTCTCTTCCACTTTCGGGACATTTTCTTGCGATCCCACTGGTTCTTCCTCTTCCCTTTTGCCTTTAGGACATTCTAGTTTCCCGTGGCCTTGCTTTAAACAATTAGTATAATACTTCACGGATTTCTCATAAATAATTTTTTGCCAACGCCCACTTGTGCCTCCAAAGTCCAGCCAAATACGTAGAGGATTATCTGCCAACAAGTTGACTTCAACACACACCCTTGCGACCCTTGGCCTTGTTAATTGGAGAGTGGATGAGTCTATAACAATGATTTTCCCAATGGGACTCAAAATATCGCAGAGGCTTTCCTTATCAAATAGATGGATTGGCAAACCTGGGAGCGAACTCCTTCGATGTATTTAAAGAACCTGGGCAAGAACTCTTGGAACCATTTAAAGAACTTGAATAGAAATCCTTCGATGTATGTTGCGTCTTTCAGCCATGTTTTGACATAATCTTCATAGAGATCGAAACTGATGAGAACATGTCTTGGGTCCAATATTCCAACCTTGAAGTTGCCCTTCGGAATCCATCTTGTCGCTATGAACTCTCTGATAACTCCAATAGATGGTTTCTTATAGGCACATTTGCCTATTAAGGTTTGGTGGAACTTTGTGGCTAGGGCCTGAGTTTCATCAAGGGACTAATAGATTCCTGGTTCACCATTGTTTTACACTACCCTTTTTGCAGTCCTGAGAAGAGAAGCTGAAGGGACTAGGGAAGATAGACCCTCAATCGGCTGAGAGTTTGGCATGGGTGCCGATGAAAAGGGTGGATTTACCATGGGTGTCGAAGGAGATGGATATGACTTGGGTGCCGAAGGTAAAGGATGCGAAGGGGAAGGAAATACCATTGGCACCGAAGGATTTGAAGTAAATGGGTGAGGATTTTTCGTGACCAATAAAGGAATTGAACAAGAATGAGGTAGCAGACCAGTGGGTTTTTTGAAAAGGGAAGCAAAATTTTTCCTGATGATTGATGTGGATAGAGTGCTCGGGTTCACAGGAGGCTTACCAGGGATTTGAACGCAATCATGGCTCATTCCAGAGGCTTTTGTACCAAGCTGACCTAAATCGGTAAACAACGAATTCTGTGGGAAATTTACAATTAGCGAAATCTTTGGGGTAGTGGCTTAGGTAATGGTGGCTTGTTTGCATTTACTTGTCCAACTGCTAGGTTCGTCTTTGGTGGCAATGATGAGCAATTATATCTGAAGTGCCCTAACTTGATTCGAAATGTGTACACTCAAATGCAGGCGGTCAAGTTGCACTAATAATCCAGTGAAGTCCAGAGTCGAATCCACAGGAAACTATGATTAGTGTTTAGATTTAAGTAGTGATAGAGACCTAGTAACTGAAAATCTTGAGGATTTGAAGTTGTGAGATTTTCTGAATAGAACATCAAATTCTTTCCAAGAGTTTTCTAGACAAGATATAAGATTCACAAAATGTAACAACAACCCTTTAGCTCGAGGATTAGAACACGTAATTGATTATCCGGTTTATCATGTTTATGCTTTATGACTCAATTAACTCTCGTGTCAACAACAAGTTAATCGGAGGATAAAGATGGACTGTAAGGATTAAACACATGATTTTGATGCCTTTCTAGAAGTTTACAAGAATTGTCTGTGCCGAGACTTAACCCATCTACAAACAAGCAAGTGTCTCTACAAGGCATCCAACCATGGCATTAATGGTCCATTCTTTGAATAAAGCGCAATAATGTTGGAGATTGAAAATATGTCATGAAGAGCTAGTCGGGGTGCTTGCCTTGAACCATTGGGTCTTTCTATGTAGGAGTCATCTGTATCATAGAAGGAACCCTTGGTTATACAATGTACCTTAGCTTTTCTAGATGCATTCAATCATTCAATGAACAAGTGGAATATAAATCATTAAAGCATAAAGAAGTGGCATAAACATAACTTCCAAGTAATTTTTACATATTCATGACCTCTTACTAAAGAGTGAATGAAGAACTACTCACTCGTCATGGCTTTGGTCATGCTAGACAAGTGAGTGATATTCATCCCTCCAAGTGGTGGAGCTACTAAGTGAGAGTACAATAAACGAAAAGATTATCTTCAATGAAGAATAAGTGAATTACATCCCACCCTTCACGACTTTGGTAAAGCTCTAGAAAAGTGGAAAAGTTTCACTCTTCTAAGAAAGAAGGAAGCTCAAGCATTGGAAGTGAAAGACATAAATAACGAATGTAGAAGAAAGCTAGTTACTTTTGGAGGGTTTCCACCGCAACCAAAATTTGAGCTATCCCTCTTGATACTTGTAAATAAAAGCAAGTACAACTACAAGGGGAGTCTAGGCCTCCATCATGGTTGTCACAATATGAATGTAAAGACTTAGCATGAGTAAATAAAAGACTTCAACTACAGGGGGAGTCTAAGCCTCCATCATGGTTGATACAAATGAAAACATAGACAGAGATAAGAAATGGTCAAGAAGTATATTACTTAAAACTTTCTACTTTACAAGAGAAAAGATTGCTCCCTCATTTACTCTACAAGAGGAAGAATGCCGTTTAAGCTCCCAACATGGGAGTATTTATAGGCAAGGAAAGGTAAGGGGGTAGGAGATAAGAGAGGATGAGTGAATAATGTTTGCCGCCCATGGGAATCAACTATTCTGCAGGCAGTCTGCAGAGGACGTTCGAACATTATCTAGCGTTCGAACGTTAAGTCTGTCTTTTCTTGATTGACATTCGAACATGATATGGCGTTTGAATGTTTTCTGTGTCTTTGCTTTGAGGGCGTTCGAACGCCAGATGGAGTTTGATTCCTTCCACCTAAGTGGCCTATGGTCACTAACTTGGTCACTTCCATACGTCTTGAACAACCTTGACTTTACACTTAGCAACTTGGTCCTCAGTCACTCAAGGCAACGTTCGAACTTGGATTGACGTTCGAAAGTTGTACTCAAGTACTTTTGTTCTGTGGTTCTTGGAACATGCCAGGTTCCAGTGGTGTAGTCTTCTCAAGATTCCAGAGGACGTTCGAACGTGAGTTGGCGTTCGAATGTGGTACTCAAGTACCTCAGCATTTCCCTTTTGTTGACTACAACACGCCATCTCTCAGCAGCTGGTCTTGGCAGGATTTCAGAGGACGTTCGAACGTTCTTGCTATATTCCAACCTTCTACAATTTTGTTCTCTATTGTGCTGGTGTTACATTCAAGTGTGATTTTTGTTGTTCTTGAGCATTTGTTCACTTTAGGACCTGAAATGTCATTACTTAAACTCCATCAATACACAATTAGTCTAGAAAGGCATAGTAAAATTTGTTAACTTTATGCACGAATCACACCCCCAACCTAAATATTCCTAGTCTCTGGTAATACAATAATAATGAAAAGGTAAATCTATTCCTAATGCCTTTTTTGTAGGTCATCTGGTTGCATTTTGCTGATGCAACAAGCTGTTGAACTGCTAGGTGTGCCCTAGAGGACGAGTGTTGTCTCATTAGGGTTTTTAGTGAAACTACCCACAAACTTCAGTCGAATAAGTGTGTATGTGAGATTGCTGGAAAAGAAATGAATAAGCATTATGGTCATTGAGACACTTAACCCTCATTCGTGACTTATCCCCTGCATTTCTTTTCCATTGGTATTTACTTTATGCAAAAATTAGCACCTGTTACATTAGCATTTGGAATTCCCTAAGTAGTATGATGGTCATACTAGAAACAAGAATTGGTATATAACAATCATTCCCCTTTTTCCACCTTCCATGGATAGCTTTGATTACACAATCCTCTCTAGGAATGCTCTCAGCAAAACAAATCGCTCTGATTATAGTGACATATCTCAAAATGGGATGTGATCAGAAGATGGCCAGTCGAAAAATCTCATGCATAATTAGTATAAGAGTGAAGTTTTGAGGAAAACAAGCTTTACTTTGGCATAATCTCATGGAAGAATATTGATGTAAATAAAGAAATTCTAATTAACATACCCCACTTGTAGAAGATCACATACATATGTATCACTCTTGAGATCACCTAGGACTTTTTGTAGGTTGTAATGGGGCCAGAGGTCAGTGGCTAACACAGGAGCACCACGAAAGAGGCTGTGATACACAGACTGCTTTTTAAAAATCCTTATCAACCTCATCATTCGCACCGTAGGAGATTCAGATGTAAAAATTTGGAAACCACCATATACAACCAGTTTTCTCCACACTTCGTTTGCAAATGGACATTGAATAAAGAGATGGGTAACCGATTCCATATCTTGATAACAGAGGGAACACCTACTGGCCAATTCCACTCCAATCTTTTTGAAGTTCGAATCCAAAACCACTACATGGTGGTGAATTTTCCAACCCAGCAGCATAGCGCTGAGAAAAGCAGATTGATTCCAAATCATGGAGTCCACAACATTAGGATCCTTGGAGTCCCTTATCGATTGCCAAGCAGATTTGACAGTGAACTTGCCACAATCAGATAATTTCCAAACCAAGCGATCGTCTCTATTACATAAAGTGAGCCAAATGTTTTGAATCTCCTGTTTGAGCTGATCAGGCAAGGCAAAGCCCAGTTTATGCCACTACGATGCCCTTCCAACCCAAATATCAGTCAAACTTGGGAAAGATAAAGGAAACCCCTCTATTCTGTTTAACAAGGGCCCATTAACAACCCAGCTAGTGCACCAAAAGTCCACTGACCTACCTTTACCAACCAGCACCTGGGAGTTGCACAAAGCATAATAGATGAAAGGCTGAAGCATGCGAAAAATTTGTGCTTTCCCTGTACTAGTACATATCAGCATGTCCTTTCCCCTTAAGAACTTTGCCCTAAACATGTTCACCCACAGAGAATCGCCCTTTAAAATTCCCCACACTTGCTTCCATCTAAATGCTGTCTGGAGATCCTTAAGTTTCCTGATTCCAAGTCCCCCCTCATCCTTCGGTCTTGAGATATCAGCCCATGAAACCCATTGTTTTTTTTCTCTCCCATCTTACCAGACCACAAAAAAGAGGAGATCAAGGACCTCAGCTTGAATAGAATACCTTTGGGGAGGTTGAGACAAGAGAGCAAGAGTGCTCTTTTCCTTGGTTATTTTCTGTCCAGACCCACCCTCATATCTAGCCAAGAAAATCATCAAATGCTCCATGGATAACTTGTTACCTCTAAGGAATAACAGAGTGTTGTCGGCAAAGAGCAAGTGAGAAACCATTAGGGCACCCCTGCCTGCATGAAAGGCTTTAACCCTTCCTTCCCCTTATAATTGAGTCAGTCCCCTGCTTAAGACTTCCTTTGCCAAGATAAAGAGAGCAAGGGATATCGGGTCGCCTTGTCTCAACCCTCTAGAAGATGGAAAAAAGCCAAAGCGTTTCCCATTAAGGCAAATAGAAAAAAATTGGTTTTGCAGGCAATTTCCAATGATAGAGACAAATGAGCTTGAGAAACCAAAACACTCAAGAGTTCTTTTTAGAAAATCCCACTCTATGTGGTCATATGCCTTCATCATGTCCAATTTAACAATCACATTACCAGCTTCAACTTTCCTGTCAAGCTCTCCAACCATCAGCTGGGCCAGTGAAATACAGTCACCTATCCCTCTCCCTTTAACAAAACCATGCTGAGCATTGGAGATCAAAGAGGGAAGGAGGACCGCAAGTCTGTTTGAAAGAATCTTAGTAAAAACTTTGTACAGGAAGTCGCAGAGACTTATAGGCCTAAATTCTGAAAACAAACTAGGCTTGGTCACTTTCGGAATTAAGACAAAGAGAGTAGAGTTAACAGACCTGGGAACCACTCCTCCACCCAAGAAAAATTTGACAGCCTCTAATAAGTCACTTTTAATGATATCCCATGCCACTTGGAAGAATTTCCCACAAAGCCATCAACGCCAAGGGCACTATCCACAGACATGGAGAATACAACCTGTCTCAGCTCAGAAAGAGATGCAACCTTGGTTAAGTTAACGTTGTCAGCTTGACCCACAAGTTTAGGAATAACCCCAAACAAATTCTCCTCAAGTACATGATCCTCGAACTTGTACAGTTTGGTAAAGAAAGAGACAAC